GTTGTACTACAAAGTCGCCAGTGCTCATCTTCCAGCTCCCCAGACACTCCGCGTACTCAAGTTGTACTACCCACTCGCCAGTTCTCATCTTCCCACTCCCCAGCTACTCCGCGTACTAAACTTGTACTACCAAGTCACCAGTTCTCAGCTTCCGAGAGCCCAGCTACTCCGCGTACTGAAGTTGTGCCACGAAGTCACCAGTTCTCAGCTTCCAGCTCCACAGCTTGCTCCGCTGCTAAACGAATCGCACTCTGGCCTGCATGTCGCGCACTCGACACGCACGATCTCCGCAAAGGGTCGCGTGCTCATTTCACAAATCGCGCTCTCGCCCGCATTTCGCGCACTCGACACGCACGATCTCCGCAGAGGGTTGCGCGGTCATCTCACAGATCGCGCTCTCGCCTGCACTTCGCGCACTCGACACGCACGATCTCCGCAGAGGGTTGCACTTTCGGTTGACGCTGTTCGTCCCGCCCTCCGCCTTTAAGAGAGAATTTATAAAGTGGGGAAATGTGTTTTCATTAGGACATCTCCCGTGCTAGTTTTCCATACTCACACTTGCCTACTCATTGCATGCTTGCATGCTCATTGCATGCTTGCGTACCCATCACTTGCATACTTACACTGCGTGCTTGCATACCCATCACTTGCATACTTACACTTGCATACTTTGACACTTGCATACTTTGCACTTGGATGCTTTCGCTCTTCCCCTTACACTGTGGTGGAAGTGTCAGTGTGTAAGTGTAAGTGTCGAAGTGTCAGTGTATGTCGTGCAAATGTGGTGGAAGTGTCAGTGTGTAAGTGTAAGTGTCGAAGTGTCAGTGTTCAAGGGATTTTCCGGAAGAACCCTTCGCAATGCTTTCGGGAAAAAAAATTATCCTCAAAAGCAAGAAACGCATTCCTTGAAAATCAAGTTTTGGAGTAGTAAAATGTCGTAAATTATTCGACATGTGTGTTTGCTCCTTTTGCCACGTTTTGTCGATTCGTCAATGCGATTCGATCCTGTTCGTCGCGGCTGTACGCAATTTCAAAGCGTTCATTCGATACTTCCGTCTGAAGTATCCACTCTAACTCCTGGAACAGCCTGTAACGCCACCTTAGATTCTAGAAAAGATATTGCTAGGGGCTTGCCTGAAGTATGCGCACCCACACAAAACACAAAAAGAGACCATGACACCGGACTTCTGATCCGCACCAAATATACACTAATACATCATCTACTTGGGCGGACTCCAGGCATTGTGGAGGGTCCACGCGGCCGTCGGCGAGTTCTGCACTCAACGAGACGCGCGGTCGGCACAGCCCCAGGTCCTCGGCGGCGGCTCGTTCAGATAGAGCTTTAAATAAAGGACCCCACCAACATAAACAGAAAATCCCAGAAGATAATAAGAAAATAGAATGAAAAAATGAAAGGACAGTATTCCGGATATGAATTCTCTACCCCAGATCACCTTTATTCTATTGGCAATTATATCCGGAATAATCTTATGATAGAAAAATAGCATTTATATACATTAAATATATTTCTGGTCTTATCTTGAGCTCTTAATTTATAAACCCTATCATCCAAGAAGTAGAATAAGAAGTGAAAAACAATAATTGAAGATCGCTCCTATTTTTCCTGGAAGACATCCCGGAAAACCATCTTCCCATGTTGGGTGTGGGGCCTATGTAAGCGAGTTTTTGCCATACATGGTTTCAACATGTATTTTGGTATTTTTGGGCTTCGAAACAATCCGCGACTACCCACTTCGTAGCCGGTTGTTGTCCACTGCCATCGCTTAAGAACGCATAAGAACTTCAAGCAAGACCAGCAATGCAGGAGACTGAGTACAGCAACTGCTACAAGTGCATGAAGGGAATGTTCGACACCAATGGCCAATGGTCATACTTCTTGTGTTTTGCTGTAGTCGAAGTGACCCTTCCAGTGCAGAACGCCAGCATGCACACCACGTAACAGGTGTTTCAGAGTTTCAGGTTGTTTCTTACAACAGTCCAGTTGAGCTGTTCCACCGATCGAAGCCCTCAATCCACTTCGTCCACACCGCGGAAACGGTGGCAATCCACTTGGTGGCCTCAATCCACTTCGTCCACATTGGACTCGGGCACCTGCGACCGTGCCACCGCTCCGGTTGTGGTCGGCGGGATCCGAGTCGATCCCTGGTGTGATCGAGTCGCCCATCCCTGGAGTTCCTTGGGGCGATGACACGCTGTTGATTCACGATGTTGATTCACTCTGTTGGCCACTTTGGATTCAAGCAGTCAGACTGCCTGCTCACCTGAGAGTCCACCCGGCCTCTTCCACGGTTGGGCCACCAGAAGCGCTGCCTTCGGAGGGCAGAGGTTCATGTGACCTTACTTCTCGCTACATTTGATACAATATGCATCTATGAATGGTTATTGGATGATTTAAAGGCCAAAAGCAAGTCTTGCAGTAGTTTTGGGTTTGCGGGGATGTGGCCACCCCCCAACATTCCACTGGGTTTAAAGATCAATTTGGTCCTTTGTCCTTGAAGTCCGGCTTTATACCACCTTCCGAACTCCTGGCTCCAATCCACCGTGCAAATCTGTAACACGCCCTGAGTATTGCCAAAAGCGCGCCCTAAACAAGCAGCTTGTAGGGCATTCCACACTGCAGTTGGGACAGGGAACTTGGATGGTGGGAGGTCAAAGCTTGATAGGTGCTGCCAGCCTCCACATGTACGTCTAGAGCGGTGTAACGAGAGTTGCCTTTTATAGAACAAATTTTCTCATGAAGTCCCTGACCTGATCCCCCAAACACTGAGGACTGAGTAGCTGGAAAAGCCCAACTAGAATGGTCCAACGGTCCAAACATTTGTGTACTTGCGTGTGCCAAATTATTTGTGTCATTCATTAGTCTATACATACACATGAATACCATGTACATATATATATATACACATGTGTGTGTATGTATATGTGCATGCGAATGCAGAAATGAATAGTTCAGGCAACAAAGAGAGTGGCAACAATGAATAGTTCGTCAAAAACATTCGGAGAACATTCGGCGGAACACCATTATCAGTGAAGGGCCGGAGTTTGATGAATGTCCCATCGAGGGGAGGGCTCAACCCAGGATAACACCTGTCTGTAGAGACAGAGGCGTTTGAAAAGAAGGACGAAGGATGTGAAGGGTGGTATCCTTATCAAGAAGAAAAACTTGAGTGCATCGGCAAAGGGGCTGGTAAATGTGCTGTCCCGGTTGACCCGGTTGACCCAGCTGAACGGGTATCCCGGTTGGGTAGTGCTAGTGGTCGTGGTCGTGGTGGTGGTGGTGGTGGTTCGTCGGGGTCAACTGGGTCAACTGGGTCCTGAGATTTTGCGTGGCCCCCTGTGCGGGCGCAATGAAAAACTTGAAAACAAATGAGGGTTGAACAATTGAGAAACTATGCAAACAAGGAAGGCCTTCAGAGAGGACACCATGTTTTTCTCAGGAGGACTTTATCAAGACTGTAGCTACAGATTGATTCAGAGTGACAAGGTCTTTCAAGCAGCGCTATTCACGGTCAATGACAGTCTGACAATGATCTGCCACCAGTCTTGGGCGTGTGCTGGTCAGTAGCAGGGAGGTGTCCGTTTCCACCTTCCTTTCATCTTGACCGGCTTCTTCTTGCTGTGTCTCACATTGTCACCCAGTACAAGATGAAGGACTGCGCCGTGTCCATGCAAAACAACAGAGGATCTTTGGTTGTAGTTTACTTGTGTGGCCAAGCTCCCAGAAGTGCAGCAGGTGAGAATTCAAACTGGAATCTAAATGTACAGATGGTGAGACAACCATGTTGCGGCACCCATCCTCCCCCCCCGCACATCTGAGGATAAGCGGGCAATAGAGTAGTCAAAACATTGGGTTTGATCCGGGGGTGTTGCGTACAAACCTGTTCGTACATGTGTGTATCATGTAGTAAAAAACAGCCAAAGCCAAACTCGCGGTTGCGAGACTTTTTTTGGGCTCGGAGCAGCCTAAAGATCTACCCGTCGATCCTCTCACGTCAGTCTCGACCTATCTTGGCCTATCGACCTGTCTTTCGTCCACATCGGGCTGAACGAGGGCCTCGCCTGAGGGGATGTTTAAAATTGTATGAGCAACAGTCAAAATGTGTTGAGGAGTTGCAGGTCATCAGGATTTGGTGAGTGTGTTATCGTTTTGAGTCTAGCTTATGTAAACCTGCTGGCAATCCCTTGAAGATTGTTCAATCTGATGGAGATGTTCAATCAATCTGCAACCAGATCATTCACAGTGAAACCCAAGGGTTCAGCCAATGCCCATGCAATGCTGACACAAAGTGGCAAGCCAATGCCCGCGCCGATGCGCAACATCACTGACTTATAGGAAGAACCCATCACTCTTCACCACCTTGTTAAGGCATGCTAATCCGTTGACAGGTTTGTCCAAGAGAATCGAGAGGATCAATTCTCACAATTGTGAAACAAACATTAACTAGTAGCTAGAAGCTACTAGTAGCAAGAAGCTACTACATCCGGAGCATGAGCCATGCGTGCCTGTGCCACCCATGCCGCCTGGCATGCCGCCCATGCCGCCTGGCATGCCGCCCATGCCGCCTGGCATGCCCCCTGGCATGCCACCTGGGTCAGCTTAGCAGGAGCCAACAGAGGCATGTAGCTATTTGGCACAGGTGTGCCCCACTAGAGTTTGCGCCACTTCAAGATGGGGGGTATTCGGGTACCACCTGCAAGGCACTTGAAAGACTTGGGGAGGCCAACCAGGCCGCCAAAGCACACAGGTAGATACATGCAGATACCCCCAAAAGAACGTGCACTCTGCCGGTTTAAAACGATGGGGTGTCAGTGCAGAGCGAGTGGGCCATGTGTGATTCGTTTTGACCAAAGGAGCAGTCAGCCAGCAACCTCAAAGAGTTGCTGACTGCTCCAAAGCAAACAAGCACTAAAACCTTAGACGTGATTGAGCCAACCCCTGTTCCCAGCTCCTGAGTGACCACCTGGCCTTGAGTCACCAGCTTGAAAAGATCAAGATCCCACATGGAGCCCTAGTTGTTGCACCAGGTGACTGCGCTGCCAGCTCTCTGATTTGAAAGGAGTGGCAAGGAACAAAAACCCATTAAGGCATGATCAGTGAGTCAGTATATGTCAATACATGTCAGATTCCCCAATAAAAAAGGATGGTTCAGGAACCGGTGGCACGAAGCCGAACAATTCTTCGGTTTTGGGTTCTCATGTCCCTCCCCAATAAACGTTCAATGCAAATCCTCTCAGAGACATCCCTCACATGCTTCACCAAGTTGAAAAACCACACCAACCCCTTGTCCGACCCGTAGCAGCTGCCCCAACCCACTGAAAGCCGTGTGGGGCAGCCGGTGTCTCTCGTGTCGCCGGGCCGTGCTTGGAAAAGGCCCCCATGACCTGAAGGGCCGGCGTCCGGTCCGAGGTGGAGGCGTCCGGG